TATTAGTTACTCATTTTATTCGAATAAACTTTCAATGTAATTCAGAATACTCGGATTCATAACGAGTAAACAAATAATTCAAATAAACCTTATTCGAATAGAAATTCTAATCAAGCAGTATAGTCGTATATAGTGATTTAGTTTAGTTTGAACATTATTGGTTGTGTGCTGGGTAAAGGTATGCAATATATGATTTTTAATGACTTATATTATTTTGTATGATGAAATAATTTGAATGAAATAAATGAGATAATTATGATCCATGTTAGGAAGTTGAACTCTCCACAAGTACACTCACTCTAACCATCATGTTTATTAATTAGATATGAAAATTTTTATTAGATCAATTCATTTTTATAAAACAATCTTGTCTTGTGTTATTATGAATGAAATCTATGAAATGTTTTTAATCACCCAAGGAGATACTTCCTGCATGAATACACCAGTCATTAACACCAACACAGCTTTTCTTTAGATCATCTAATCTTTTTTACAATGTGATGTTGTCCCGTGTTCACATTTCGTTGAAGATTTACATTATTTGTTACAAAGCATTATTACAAAACACCATTGTTATGAAATTTGTGAAATGAAATGACATTATTAATATTGATGAAATGAATTCGAATGAATGAATGAAATAAGACAATTAATCATCGATTTTTTAATATAAAATATTCCCGTATTTTTTCACAAATTTTTTTTTTAATAAAAATAAAATATGGACTTCTCAAAGTCGCTTCAAAAAGTACATACTATATTCTCATCCATTATCAATTATTATTACTATGGACCACCACAACCATCGTGGGACTTAAAGTTTTATTTGATCTTCAAAATTATAAAAGATGACCTCTCAGCCAGGCGAACTATCGAAGATCTTCAAGGAGTATTTAATACCAAGAGTGCTGCCAGGAGTGGTACACTTGTAGATGAGCTGACATTGTCAAATTCGCTTCGTAAAAAATCTGAAGTTTACATTGATGATGTTTTAAAGGATTATAATCATGTGCTTCTTGATGATTGGAGAAGTGTCAATCTCGGGGATGGATTAGAATGTGAATGGGTTTACGTTAAGAAAGAAGAGGAAGGAGAAGAAATAAATCATAAAAAGAAAAAATACAATAAGATTATTATGTATTTACATGGTGGTGGATATTTTTTTGGCTCCCCTGGTCAATATCGTGCCATTACTTCTAATATTGCAAAATATACAAATGCAAGGCTATTTGGTAATTATTTATATGAATTATGAAAAAAAAAGTGTTAATTTGACTAACAATTTTATTTTCTTCAAAAACTTCAAGTAATAAATTATAGGCTTGCACCACAAAATCAATTTCCTGCTGCTTTACATGACTCAATAACTGCCTACAATTATCTTATTGATCCACCAAGAGATGCTGATTTTTTACCGATTGAACCTAAAAATATTATAATTATGGGTGATAGTGCAGGTGGTGGTCTAGCAATGGCAACATTACTTGCTATACGTGATAATTCAAAAAAATCATTACCTTTACCAGCTGGTGCTGTTTTGTGGTCACCATTTGTTGACTTGGCTTTCACAACATCATCAATAAAAGATCCAAGATGTGATGAATTAGATATTTTGCCAAATGATTTTTGCGGTTGTAAAATATCTCCCGTGTTGGAAAAATTTGAACAAAAAGCAAAAGAATTATCAGAAAAAATCCAATCAAATGTTGATAATAAACCAAGATTTTGGCATAAGTCATTCGATTTTGGCGGTCGTTTACAATATTATGCTTCTAACGAAGGATTAGCGATTCCATACGTTTCTCCATTATTTGCTGAAAGTTTGGGTGGTTTACCACCAGTTTTAGTGGTAAATGTTTTTTTTTTAAAAAAATTTTGAATGCTTATATACTAAACCTCGTGATGATAAAAAATAATTTTTTGTTATATAGCAAGTGGGTGATGTAGAAAGATTAAGAGATGAGGGTATTTATTTGGCTCATAAAGCTGCTAACCCAGAAAAGTACAATTTGCCCAATTACAATGCTGAAAAATTTGAAAGGTCGTCTTATAAAACACCTACAAAAGTTGTTCTTGAGGTTTATGAAGAAATGCCTCATGTCTTCCATGTAATTTTCACAAAATTTTAATTAATTATGCAAAATAATAGTGGTAATAACAACAAAAATAACAATAATATTTCAAATAGCTATTACTGAACATCCATCCATCACCAAATCTAGCCGTTAAACGAACAGCTGAATTTATTGAACAATTATTATCAGGCAAAGAAAAGAAGCAGGAATTAAAAGTCTTACGTGTAACAGGTAAAGGCAAAATCATTGAAGAGCTGAAAGAAGAGCATTACAAGATACTTGAATGTGAAAATATTGGTGTTGTTTCATCTAATATTGAAAAGGATTGTTGTATTAGACCTAACGATGACAATGACAATAAATTGTAAGTGTGATGTTTTTTTGAGATTGCGCATTATTTATTTATTGATTGATCGATTTATTGATTTATTGATTTATATAGGTATATGTTGAAATTTTCATTGTTTGAAACTTCATTATTAGTAATTGTTGTTTATTTATTTGTAAGAATTTTCTTTAATCAACAAGGTTTTTTTAATTTTTAAGCTGAAGCCAGAAAGAAATTGGGAAAACAGTGATGGTTTGTTTTATTCTTCAGAGTTGAATTAAATAAAACATCCTGAACTTTTCTTTTTTTTCATTGAAATTTCTTTCCACCTTCCTTCTAATTGGCATCCTTTTAAAGTTATCACCCGAGCATATTTGCTCGATATATTATTATGACCAACATCACTTGGTTCATTGATATTTTAATGATCTATATTCCTCGTAATATGTAAATGTGTATTTTTATTATAATATACAGAAGATATTATGTTTCCATATTTTTAAAAAAAAATATATAATTAACACACAAAAGACAGAAGATATTACGTTTCCATATATATATAATTAACAAATTAATAATGTGTGTTTACGTTTAGTTGGCACCATTATCACTAACAATGTAATGTATTCAATGATTTTATTGATTTCTTTTACCAGTACAGGAAGTAAATATCCAAATTGTGCAAAAATTATTTCTCTGGCATTAAAAATTTTTACAAAATTCCTTTACGCAAAAAAGCATACAGTTCATCATCTATAACGAACCTTCCATCCCTATATGTAATTTTTCTGTCTTTGTTCGTTATAGAGAGAGAATATATAAAAAAAATTTCGTCCAAATATTAACTAGCCAAAATTTACCAATTATAAAAAACATACATAATAATTATATCATTCGGTTCTTTAAGATTACAAATATAAAATTCATGCTTTTAAAATTTATAGAACTTGATCAATTAAAAATTTTGATATGAAATTGTATTATACTTTTGTCCTATATAATTTTTTTCAAATACAAAGATTATTGATTAGTGTTTCCACAGCAATCATGGATGTAGTAACCCTTCGATTCTCTGATATTTCATTGATTTAAATTGGAATTTTTAAATACAATATTAAAATTTTTCTATCACGCTTTTTAAATTTCTTCTTTGTATTCAGTTAATATACATACATCCAAATATACGCACATATATACATATAAAATCTCTCCTCGAAAAAAATTTAAACAAAATAATCAAACTCCAACCCTTTGAGTGTAAAAGATGACAACAACGATTGGCAATCTTAATTTTAATTGTATCAGTTTATTTAAAGAAGTATTCAATATTCAAGTTAATAAAAAGCAATAGTTGTAATTTAGCAAGTTGTGAAAACATGTTGCTTCGAAGACTATTTATTATTGACAATCTATCGACTAGATTCTTATAATTTATCATCATACTAAATTTTTATGACAAAAATTAGAAAGTAATGAACATGGGATCAGAAAGTTGCTACAATGGAAAAATTCCCAGGAAGAAGAGTAATTTATAGCATGATGATGATTATCACATGACTTTAAAAGCTTATAATTCTTTATTAAAAAGAAAAGAAAAAAGTAAACCGATAGAATTAAAGCTAAAGACCTAAGCTTCGTTTCCATCGGTTTACTTTTTTCATTTTATTAGAAAAGTTTGGGTTATAAGGCTTCAAAGTTAGGCCATTTTATATGTCTATATGTAAATCGGAATGATCTTTCCTTGTGATTTCCTAAATGTTGATGATCTGCTTATAAATTTTTCACAATAAAAGAAATAAGATCTAAAATTTTAAATTTCGGACTGAGACATTTATAGATGACTTGAACCATATCAACTATGCTTGCTATTTCTATATTCATCCCCCTTAATGTTTTTACAATTATCATGATAATCAAATGACGTTACTAACATTTTTTCATTGGTTGATATTTATTTTGATAAACAAATGATCTCCAAAAATGTTCTTTGGCTAAAACGTGGAATGAGACAATACGTGTGTATAAATATATTGACATTCATTCCTTAATCATTGTAATTTAATATTAATATCAAATATTTTTTTGATCAAAATTATACCCTTCGTTTCTTTTATCTTTATCATTACCATTATCATTATGATTATCCTTATCATTTTGAATTTCATGATTTGTATCAATTTCTTGTAATTGGTTTTTTCTTTTTTCTTCTTTCCTCTTTTAGAAAAAATATTTTTTAATAATTTCGTATTTAAATATATATGTGTGTGTGTGTGTGTGTGAATATATATACCTTTTCAATTTCTTTTGTAAATTTTTCCTTCATCATAATGAAATCATCTAATGTATACAAACATTGGTGAAAAAATTTGGAAATATTTGGGGTGGATTTAGTGGAATGTAGGTTTTGCTTTTCTAATTTGAATAGATTTTCTAATTAAAATTAATTTATCTGACATTCATTCATAAGTAATTAACTATATTATTTACCGATTTCATAATTCACCACATTGTCTTTCAAGAAATCATGAAACTGTTATATTTTAGGAAATTTAGAATCAATTAAAGAATTTCCTTGGCAACAAAAAATATTTTAATTTTCAAACCTGATCGAGATTTTCAGTTCCTTGCATAATTTCATCCATAAAATTATTTAATGGCTTAATATCAATAAAAAGATTATAATAGACAGTAATTTGATTTTCAAAATCAATATACATGAAGCACGGAATATTAATTCCTTGCTTGATAGCATATTTTCCTGCTGCAAAAGCACAAACGCGCCTATCAAATTCAAATCTCACAACATTAAAATCCTGATCAATAATATAAGTGTTACCATTCCATGCACAAGCAACAAATACATCATCAGGATCTCTGTATGAAGAAGATGAAGATGTTGGCTGTAATGATGACAATGATGAATTATTCCTATTGTGATGGCTACTTTGATTTCTTCTACGAAGGTTTATTGCAGAAATCCCAAAAATTTTATGTGTAACTTGTAATTCAATATGCTTCATACTTGAACTTTTAAGATCGTATAATCCGAATTTACCTAAATAAAAAAACAATAATGTATATAAATTATTGTATATATACTATTAAAATTAATACAATATCTGTATATCTATACACACCATCCATTGTAATCAATGCAATTACGTCTGTTTTTTTTCCTATTGATAATTATAACAACAAGATAAATGTAATCTTTTAATTTTCTCTTCCTTTTTCTCTCTAGTAAATAAAAAAGAAATTACCATCTTTTCCAATTTTAGTTCCTCTAACGATTTCTGTTGAAATTTCTGTGAACTCATCTTTATGTTGTTGAATATAATTTAAGTTTTCTATTGGAGTGGATTTATTTTCATTTTCATCGATTATTATAAAATGCCCACCAGGTTGACCTACCAGAAACAATGTTGATCCAGTATTGGGATCAGTGGCTGTAGACAAAGAAGTAATCTACAAAATACAAATTATTAATTTCCTTTCTATTTATATTAAGTTTTTACAAAATAAATAAATAAATCACATTTACCCAATCATAGTCTTTACCTGACCATCAAAAACCCATTTTTTCTTCTCCTTTAAAGTTGGATTTATGTTTTGTAAATTTTGTTTATCCATATTACTTCCACTGCTAATACCACCAACACCAACACCGCCACCAACTATAACATTGCCACTCCTGCTTGCCATCGCAATATCTGTTATGATATTTATTTTCTGATCTTTATTAGGTATTTTAGTTGTATTATTATTGTTGTTGTCAGCTGGTAATGATGGCATTTGTAAGCTAAAGACATGTAAGATTCTATCTGTTCGCGCAAGAATGATTTCATTTTTACCATCTCCATCTAGTTATTTCCAATTAATTGAATTATATTTAGTCAATATTATTACTAAATCCTTAATTAATAATAATTATTATCATCATTATTACGATTACATTACCGATATCTGCAATTACTATTTTATTACAATTCACACTCACATTTAACGTAAATGATGTAAAATTAATACCGCGCGACTTTTCGTCGCGTCTGTTATTGCTCATGTCAAAAATATGGCATTTTCCTTCTGCATTAACACACACAACAGAATTCTTCAATGAATCAGAAAATAATGAACATTTTAAAGAAAAACTTTGATTACATAAAAACATTATATATTTATAGATATACACATTGAAATACATACCCGTCCACAATTTTTAACATCTCCAACAGCAAGACATGTAATCTTTAATTAAAATTAATATTTTAATTTTTTTTTTTAATTTAATTTTTGAAACCGTTAAATTCAACTTACTGTACCCAACCCATCGCAATTTAAAGAAGGTGTCCTTGATGCTCCTTTAAATACTGCCAATTTACCATTTAAATTTCCAATAACAAATTCATTGTCCTAAAGAAAATCTTGGGAAAATCAAAAAAAATTTCCAAAAATTTTCACTTGTTTAATAAATTCAATTGTAAACATGATTTTTCATACTTTATCATTATCAACATCTCCAAAAGCAAAAGCATGCGGATTCATATTGCCAGGAAAATCCCATCTCATTTTATCCACCAAACATATTGTCTTCATTTTTTTTTTTTCTCAAAAAATAAAGATATTAAAATTTTTATTCAGCCACAATACGTAACATTTTTATATTTAAAAAAAAAAAAAAATGATAAAAAAAGCTTTTTACAAAAATCAATTCAAATTTTCTATTTTCAACAAAACAATTCATCATTTTCATTCAATTTCAAATTTGCCTAATCGTTCTTTTCTACCCTTATTTCCTCGTGAATATTATGTTGATAAACCTTTAGAATTTGTTGCACCCAAAACTTTACTACCTCTACTTTCATCCATTCAAAATGATAGAAAAGATGAAACTTGGTTAATTTATCAACAGTTGCTAGCTTCTGAAAAGCTTCATCTACTAACAACCCAACATTTTTCTTTATTATTACAATCCATTAATTTTAAAACATTTCCACCTAATAAAACAGAAATACAACATTTAACGGAGCAACTATTTTCAATTTTTAGACAAATGAAATACTTGGGTCATAAACCTGATGTAACAGACTATACACATCTATTATCAATATTTAGCAGACTTAGAGATGTTAAACTATCTGAAAAATTATGGCAGGAAGCAATAGACGATGGTGTTGTACCTTCTATACATTTGTATAATACATATTTGGCATCTTGTTTACACCCCAGGAGACCTAATTTAGGGAAGGCAAAGGCTATTTTACATGACCTTAAAAAAAAGCAGATAAAGAATAATTTAACAACCTTGAGTCTGGTGATACGGTTATATGCCAAAGAATTTGATATTAGAATAGCACAGGAATTTCTTGAAATTACATTTTTACCAACTGTAAAGCTAAACTATCATCAATGGTCCATCATCTCTACATTCTTGGAAATTTTCAAAGAATATGGCAGATTGAATGATTTGGATTCAATGGATAGTTGTTATAGAAAATTCCTGAGTCTTAACCTAAAACCTGAGCCAAGAATCTACAAATCATTGATAAGATGGAGTTGTGTAAATCATAATATAGAACAAGCTAAAAAATATCTTGAGGAAATGATATCACCACCAATTAATTTGAAACCAGATCTAGAAATATTTAATTATATGATTGCAAGTGAGTGTAGAAAATGTAAAACACATTCTGCATCTGATTTAGCAAAAGATATGAAAAGAAAATATAATATGATGCCATCTGAAATGATTTTAATTGCAATTTTCAAAACTATGATTAGGAAAAAAAGGTTTATAGATGCAAGATTTTTTGCAAAAGAATGGGATTTTCCAAATCATATAATCAAAATATTAGAAGCAAAACAATAATTATTCTTTTTTGCCTTTTTGGTTTATAAATACTCTTAAAGTTGCCATAGTAATCAGGATAGCTTCCTATATATTTCAATTATCATTATAAATTTATAATCAAAATTTTCATAAAATAAATTTATATCATGAGAGCTTTAAAGTACCTCAGTACGTATAGTACGACTTCCTTGATTTGGGCATGTATTAATCCATAAATCAAATAAAGCATCTGCTTCTTCACCAGCACATTCAAGATCTTTATCTTTATCTATCACCATTTCCAATCCGGATAAACCACCAAAAACAATCAACAAATGTCTTGGGGTAAAAAATATGGTAAATTAATTTTTTTTAAAAAGAGAAATATCTTATTTTATAAAAAAAAAAAATATATATATATATATATTTACTTAAATTCTGGTAATTCATTAATCACTTCATCTACTATTTTGCCACGTTCAGAAGTTCCTATTGAAATATCATAACCATCCTAAAAAGTTTTATTACAATAAAAAAAGCAATAATATGGATAACAATAATTGTAAACTTTAACCATATATATACATACAGGATATGGTGATTCAGTAAATACTTTTGATATTGAATTTGCCAATCGAATTTGATATCCCCAGTATATTCCATTTTCACTTGGAGTTTTTGGTGATACTACTTTGGCTTTAATATATTTAGATTCTAAATGTGTATATGAATTATTATATATTACAACACATAAATAATTATTTAATTTATTAATTTATTAATTTATTAATTAATATATTTACCATTTTTAACAACTGTATAATCTCCCATATCTAATGTTACTCGTACTCCAGGATTGATTAGTTGATCAATAAGCACGTTCTAAGTGATATGAAATAGGCAATAATTATACATATTCATTATATAAAATATATAAAAATATAAATAATAGAAACCTTTTTAAGTCCTGCATTGACTAAAGCTCCTTCCATTCCTTTTGGTTTCGTGTCAATGACCACACCTTCACGATATTGACTCTTTTCTTCTTGACGAACATGATGTGGACAATCCAATGGATTCAATAAGCCTATAAACAAAACAATATAAAAAATTAATTTTATAATCAGTCATGCTTATAACCATGTTTAATAAATATTCACCTGCATATTTAAGATCTTTATGGACCGGAAACAAATCTTTACGTAAATACCTAAATTATTCATTATTAAATAAATATGCAATACCCTTTACCCATTATCCACCCATCAATTGATAAATAATAAACAATTTTAATTATTTGACTAACTGAGGTGTTTCCAAGTATTGTAATATTCTAGCTAAAAATATATTTGGAGACTCGTTTGGATCAGAATTGATTAGATTTAAACCTTCATTGAAAATCACCACTTCATCAACACAATAAATAGCAAATGTGCGTGCAAGCTGTATTGTGTTATATAAATGCGATATATTATATATTATATATTATATATAAATATAAATATAAATTAAATAATTGTATTAAATATTTTACCTGACCAGCCAAATATGATTTAAGTTCTGGAGTTTGAGCATTGTCTATTATTGAACCAGGAAGTGCGATACTTATTGTGAATGATTTTTTGGAAGGATTGTTGCTTGATTTTTTTGATTTTTTTTTATTAGATTTCTTTTTTGATTCGTCCATTTTTATTGATGATTTATCAACTGTGTCAACATCATCATGTTTACGCTTTTACAATTTTATTTAATTAATTTTTTAAAATATATTTAATTATTTGATTATTATAATAAATAAAAATTTATTTACCTTTTTGTCGGGTTTTTTTAACATTTTTTTTTTAATATTTTTTTTGGGAGAAAATCATTACAAAGAACTTATCATATGACAAAAAATAAAATTTGCATTAGTTTCCAAAAGTTTTGATTTCGTTGTATGGACATGTACTGAAAAAAAGCTCTAGAATTTTGACATTATACTAGGAATGGGAAAAGGATTTTGAATGACCGTAAAATCAAGAGAACCAAGAGGATGCGCTATCAAGCCCAACGAAATATATGATATTGTTTGAAGAAGGCAAAGTTGAAGCCAAGGATTATAATGGCGACAAAAGTATAAGTCGTAGGCACTGTGATTGCCTGTGTCTTTATTTAGCAGTCTTTCTCTCAATTTTTGTTATAGGTTGTGCTTTCCCTTGCATTCATCATTAAATTTAACGGCAGTAGATCAGCACAGTGAACTGAGGAAATGGGCCTTTGCAAATTATGGTTCAAATATCACGGATGAAGAGAAAAGCGCATTGTATTAAGAGCAAATGCGCTAACAGTGATGACGTAAAAATAATACTTTATTACAGTTCTTTGCCATTATCACGATGTAGAAAGAACCGTAGAATTTATTCGGAAAAAATGATTAGTTTCTGAGGACAACAAATTTGTTAAAGAATTCTGGACGCTTGGTAACTATTATGATCTTCAATAAACCCTCATTCAGTAAACTAATCCAATCTCAAATGCTTAAGGCTTACAAATGGAATCAGAGTTCTGAATGGATTGTGCTCGACTTTGAAGCATTGAAACATAAGAGCCCAATCTGTCCACATTTGTCATCAAAATGGTGAAAACCGAACGTGTATATACAAATTTCATAAGAAAACTGGCAGGAAATGTGATGAGATCTTTTTATCAGTATCAAACAAAAATTTATACCAGAATGTTTGTCCTAATTTATAGAATCTGAAGATTCGATTAGTTCTTTGAAAGCAGCAGCACAATAGAAAGATTGATGTTTGAAAGCATATGTCCATCAAATAAAAGGAAACCCGGATATGTTAAGTCTCTACCTTCATGTTTTTACAAATTTTCAGAAAATCATCCTGAATTGCAATTGGCACCACCCTTTGCAGGAAATTCACAATCAAGGAGATGTGAAAATCTATCATATTGAGTTTTAAAATTACGTTATTATTATTATTATTATTATTATTATTATTATATTGCCTTTTCTTACCTGAAAATAGATAAACGGTGCCAAATTTCCAATGCAATAACAAAAGATAAATTTCTTATCGAAAGAATTTTACAAATCAGAGGTGCTTTACAAGTTTGAAGACAACTGTGTAAAGTTGGCGAATATTTGCAAGATGTTTGTTGTTAGTCGAAGTAAATAGTGCTAGGTTTTGATGTATCTTCTTTAATTGCACTATGCTTAGAGAATCTCCGAAAAAGAATATTGTACACGTAAAGGAATAGCTGTCACCGAATCCGATCATTCTACCCCAAGAAGGAACCATAAAAATTCAAGACTTTAGATAGTAGAAATAAATCCGCTATTTTAGAACTACACAAGCTTTGGATTTTTTTTTCTTACCAGATGCCATATGCGTAATCGACAGAATCAGAAAATTTGGTTAGTCTACAATAAAAATAAAAAACAGAATTTATAATGAGATTATTTCAAAAAAATTTACTACTTTGTATCATGAAAATTATTTTATGACATTATGTTCACCTTGGTTTTGTTGCAATATGCCCTGCTTATCATGCTTTCATTTTCATTATATTTCAATAAAGAATAATAATTTCAATTGTAAATTTCCTTAAAACACATTGGACTTATTATAATAACATCTTTTGTTCAATTCATCAGAGAATTCACTATACATTCTTATACAAATAATTGTATAATAATTTAGATATATGACATATTTTATCTTTATTCTATTTGTTAATAATTATTTGCTCATGCATAGTCTCTCACTATCTTTACAAACACCACTATTATTTATTTACAAATTGTATACTATAATTACCAGTATTCTCATCCTTATCAAGTTGAAAGTTATCAGTTGATAAATTAACTTTACCCAAAAAACTATTTGCTAAATTTTTAAATTTACTAATCATTTCTGCTTTCTCTTTCTCTTTTGATTCTTCAATTCTTGCTGGTAAATTTCTTATAGAAGTTTGTATTTGTTTATGATTTTGTGATGTTAATTTTGTATGGTGAATGGAATTTTTATTTAAAGCTTCATAATCTAATGTTATTAGAATGAGTAAATATAAGAAAGTACAAGAGTTAGAGTAAAAGTTAGAGATATAGAAATAATTTATTGGTTAATATATGTGTGTATATATTACATCTATAATATATTTACCTTCAAGTGCAGCCATTAATGATATTAAAGAATTGATCTTTTCATTTGATTGAGCTCTACGAAATAATACTTTTGTATAATCAGGTGAGACTTCTAATGCTATTAACAATTATCAAGAAACAATATTAATAAATATTTTGCATTTTTCATTAATATAAAGATACTAAAAAGCATACCTTTTGTGCACATTTCTACAGAATCATTATAATTTTGCTTAAAAAAAAAATCAGTTAGGAATTTTGTTGCTGTTAATTAATTTATTAATTAATTAAAAGACTTTTTTTACCAATTTAAAATAACAAGCTGAAAGATTTCCCCAATAAATGGCTCTTTGTTCTCCCAACTCTACTGGGCACGTATCTACGGACTTTTGGTAATATCTTATTGCCTCTTCAAAATTACCTTTAAAGAAATGCTCATTTCCTATATGTTTAGATTCTTCAGCTTCCTTTAATAAATTTTCAATTTCCTCTTTTGTAAATTTTGGTTCGACTAGTATTTCATTCTCATTCTCATTCTCATTCTCATTAGTGTCAGTACCAGTATTACTACTGTTGTTATTGTTATCAGCACAACTCTTACTACTGCTGCTACTATCACTACTATTGCTATTATCAAGATTAGACATCGATTCGATTATTCGACTTCTATTTAATATTAATATTAAAAAATTGAATATTTATCAAATGATGATCATTGAGTCATGAGTTTCTAAATAGCACAAATCAAAAAAACGAAATTTTCCAATATGGGCTTCGTTAATGAAGCTTCTTATTGTATATGGCTTTCCGATAAGAACAACCATGATTGAGACTCAAAAAGGTCATTAAGGAGGAGAGTTTATTGCTCCTTATCAGTAATAATAACATATTTCATATATTACGGAAGTTGAGATCTCTGCCATCTCCGAGATCGTCAAAATTTGTCTCATTTCTCATTTTACAAAAGCACTCGCGAGACTGAAAGGTTTAACTTCTCCATGAAATGATGAAGTACATTCATGTTTGAATTCTATGACGCATTAGAATTCTTAATAGAGTAGAGATTCCGTTATTTGCGGGTGAAATCATTTTATTATCATATCATTACGTTAATCTCCCTTTCTAACAGGTTCCAGATCAAACGACAATATAACATAAGTGGAGTTCAGTTTATAAGGTAAGTTAACAATAATAATATTATTACACTTTTTATCGAAAAAAGCATATATATATATATACAATTTATTTTTGAGGTATGAATTTACAAATAAACTATTTCCTGCAAAGCAGTGTCTGAATCAGCTATAATTAGATGTATTGATACTACGCGCGAAAACATTTGAGTAAAGATTGAAAGGTTAAATAATGATGTTGCAATGGTTTCTTGTAGTTGATAATGATAATCCAATCAATCCTCCAAATAATACGATTAGGAAATATCAACTGTATCTATTAGGGATAAAGAAAGATATATTGTAACTTGGGTAAACAATTAAGAGCTATATATAGATAATAACAAATTTTTGAGTTAGAGCAACAAAAAGAGCAAATTAAAGGGGCTTTTCAAGGTTAGAACAGTATTTAGTATATAATAATTAATTTTTTTCGAAATGTCTGGAGTTTCTTTTTCGTGACTTATTGGTAGATGTGAACTTGGTGGTGAAGTAATAGTTGACAATGTTGAAATTTGTGACATTGCCGTTTCTTCAGTATCATCGGTATTATAAGATAACTTATGCACAGTACATGCGATGGCAGTTCTAAAAGTCAATATCGTGTGTATAAGGTGGTAAACATCTTCTGGTTTTATGGATGATATATCTAAGCGAATTTTGGCTCGTCCAAGCAAGCAATTTCTATAAAGTCCAGCTTCTTTATACATGCTACGAATTTCCATTGCATCACCTGCAACATTAATAGTAAAATTTGTTAGCATATCTTTTACTGCAAAATGTTTGAAGACTCTTTCATTTTTAGACAGTCTTGCCTCATCTATAGAGTCCTTCGAAAGACGGTTCAATTTTTTGTGATCTTGTATTTGCTTATTAAGGGAAGAATCAGGACGTCCCATCTCAAGATATCCGACTTCGATTTTCTTACTTTTTACTTGTATTATAACCATATAATCAGGTCGTTTAGCACATTTATAAGATTCCTTTCGCTCAACAATAGCTGAACTTGCCTGATCTCCTCTTTATACAGAAAAACCCATGTTAGTATCATCAAAAATACAATAATTTAAAAGATTTTAACTAAACCGTACCATACTCTTCACACATTTGAGTCTACTGGTAATTCACTCATTGAAATGTCAAGTAACGGTGGAATAATCTCACATACATATGATCTCTCGTTTATAGTAGGTTCCCCAGTTCTCGTAAATAATTTCCATTCTGGTGATATCCAGATCCGTTTTAATGCCTCTAACATTTGATTTGTTAGTTCTTGTGATTTTCCAGGTTCATATAAAAATTCACCAAATTTTTTTGGAAGTTTTTGCAAGATTCCTCTCTTTTTCTTTTTGGACAAATTCATCACAAAGACGTTTTATTGACTCGTTTATTGGTATTAGAAATTTTTTACTTGGGTTCCTTGAAAATATCTGTAAAAGGCAACGAGCTATCATCTAATATACCTGAACATAATGGGTGATCATAACCAAGATCTTTTATATCAATTTCACGTAACTTCTTTCCACATTTTCCCACAGTTCTTTGCCATCTTCCAATGTTGATATCGTAAACTAAAGATACATAGGTCAATACACTTTTGTATTGTGAATAATAAAAAATTAATTTTAATAAAATACAAACCTTGTGCACTTCATGCTTTAATAACTCGAAATTATTAACTGCATTACCTACCCAGGCTGTCTCGACCCTCTGTTATTATAATATTATAATCATTCATTTATTAAGTCTAACCTCCACAAGATAAAAATAATACAATAAAAAAATAATACCAATGCATTCAATTCTATTAGAGTAGCATAGTGGAAGTTTTTTGTTACACTAAATGTTATACAGAACCCATTGCTCTTGAAACTTCACCAGTATATAGTTGTTACTTCTCTAAATTGGAGATCAAGTTCAGATCCAATTCAAATCTAGTTTATCACTTACTTCACTTACTTTTTATTGCCAGAATGTTTGCCGTGTATTGTAAAGTTATGTTGCACAATATAAAAAATTAATGTAACATTTCAAATTTCCACTATGCTTATTAGAGGGAAGTGCCTAATATAAAAAATTATTTCTCGTGTGACATAAATTTATTGGACAGAATTTGAATGATCAGCGTCCGAAATTTGAAATATATTAATATATATATATACTATATAGTAAATTAATATAAACTCTCGATATAATCATATAGTGATTTTTAATATAAACCTTCGATATAATCAATCATATAGTGAAGTTTTACTTGGTACCCATTATATTAACTAAAGCTCGATATAGTGAAAATTTTGTTGATCATTACTTAATTGTAATTTGTCGCAAAAAAAATTTCTCATGAATATTAATGAATTTTGTAAATTTAGTAATACACATCTAAACTCGATAAGTCGGACATTTATTTATATTATAAAGTACTTTAAACAATTGATTGCTGCGTCCGACTTATCGAGTTTAGATGTGTGTAGTGTTGAAAAATAAAGTAATTGAATTTTAGTAATGTGTCGCGAGCCAATCTTTTTATATAAATGAATCACACTATACAATGAAGTTTTTTGTCAAAACCAACTCTTTCTTATATCGAGCGCCGACTGCAGTAAACTTGTGTATTTTTAAACCTTAATAACTGTACATAGTTGAGGAATCAAAAAAATACATTGTAATTTTGAAAGAGGAAGTCATTTTTACGGTTCTTTTTTTTTTGTGACACAAAAATTGAGGGACTAGATACATTTTAAAGTCACCCGTAAATTCTTGATGACTTTAGACACGTAATTATTTTTGGATACTCGTAATTAATCATTCCAAACATTTGTTACAAATATTTGATAATATTGTAACAATTCATGAATGATTATCGATTGATAGATAACAAATAATACTAACTTATTTGTAACTTATCATACTATATAACAAAGATAATAGATAACTTATTTTACAACAATTAAAATATTTGTTCAGAAAACATTTAAAAAGTAATTCTTTCAAAACCAAATGGAATTTGCAGAAAAAACTTTCCTAATACTTTAGGAACTACCTTAAAATGTCATAATATTCTTACACCTGACAAAAAATATGGTAATTTTTTGATATAGCTTGAAATGTACAATCAAATTGACGATGTCCAAAAGAAACTTTATCGATTAAAGAACAAGAAAAAATTTGCTAGAATTTATACAAATATCTGAAATAATGAGCATTCAAAGTAATTACGAGTGAGTATCCAAAATAATATTCGAAATTCGAAATTTTGGATTTACGAATATTAATATTCGAATACGGAGTTAGAATTACAGTTAGGAATCCTTACACATGATTTTCAATCATGAATAATACTTTTTAAAAAATTTTTGCGACAAATTACTAAATTCAATTAGTTTTTTTTTCATGATATATACTTTTTAAAAAATTTTTGCGACAAATTACCTAAATGAAAAATTTTTTTGCGACAAATTACCAAATTCAATTTTTTTATCATCAATAATTAAGTAATGATTGACAAATATTCAAGGCTCTATATGATTATATTAAGAATCTGTCTATATTAAAAATCACTATATCAAGCAGAATTTTATATACAATAATGGTAAATTCTCCATTATATCGTACAGATTCATAGTAAATAGCAGGTTCACTATTTTTAAAAGATAATCTAATCCCCTCCTATCTACATTTGTACAACGTCAGATTAGTTATATAAAAACTTTTTTTCCCAAAAAAAAAAAAGCCAACATAATAATGTCGTATTACAAATTATTATGTTCATTATTTTTTACTTCTCTTCTCTCTTCTCTCTAGTTTATTTATTCTTCACTTTCCTTTTTTCTCCTTCCAAAAGATTTATTACGGTAGAATCGATCTCGAGCATTGGCGAATTCGTCAGGAATTCGCTACAAATTTTCGTCACAGGTAACCTTTTCTTCTTCAGTTTCAATAATGTTTCAGAAGAAAAAACATCACTAAAATTAATTAATTGATTGATTGATTGATTATTTAAAGATATCAAAACGCATTTTGCTATATATACAATGTAAAACAACAATAGCACCTTTAGTTAACATCAACAAGTCTTTTACTTTTTTTTTTTATTTATTATATAAATCAGATATTGAGTATATTAACCTATATCACCGTTAAAGGCCTGTTGATCACGAAATATTTATTTGGTGCCACACTGGATTTATTTTATTATTATTTTTTAATTAGTATTTTGTTTTATCATTTTTTTATTTTTATATTTTAGATAATTGTTATTGATTGGTTAATTAAATTGGTTATAAAAAACTATTTCCTTAGAAAGAAGAGAGAGAGAAGAGCGAGATATATATATCAACCATTAATTAGAATAATTTAACAATAATCATTTATAAAATGATAAATTTTCATTATATAAAAAATACTCCACTGATATTCACCTTAAATAAAATATGTGAGGCGGACTCGTGGTTCTATTTTTTGATTTTTTTGTCAAGGATTATCAACGTTTACTATTTCATTCACATTCAACTAAATAGATCAAGTTTCTATTTTTATTCATTAAATCACGTTTAATCTTTAATTTTATATCATTTGGTTACTTTTTCTTTTCTTTATATATATGTCTATATATAGTGTGTTTTCATTTTTATTAGTAGTAGTCGCTTTTAAAAATATTGAAAGAGGAAATCAAATATATTCACTAAAACATAACGACAACGAACAACAAACAACGATTCAAATCATTACAACGACAATCCACAATCATAATAGTGTTAATCCTCAAGCAAAAAAATCATAATAAAAGTGGCAATCACTATTCAATCCGTCAAGTCGACTTTGGCCGGTGTATAGGTTTATATACTCATATCTCAAAAAAAAATACCGATTTTGGCTTTTCACTGATTTTCTTTCACATTTTTTATTAAATTTTTTTTTTTTTCGATTTATCTTTGATTTTTCAAAAATCAAAGAATTTTAACAAAACCTAACAATCAAAAATACTGTTTTTACTCCAATTAACAACAGTAGTTATTTTTTACTATTATAACACTACTACTAATAATAGTTTTTTTCCAATAACTTCGATTCCCTTCAATAATTCATCGTAAATCTTTTGTAGGAAGTTTCCTTTAAATTTTTTGTTACTTTATCAATTTAATTATTTTTTTATTATAACAATACCATCTTTTAATTGATATTTTATTATCTCACTTCCTTTTTTCGTTTCGTATCATTCAATCCAATTATTTTAATATTTTAATATATTAAAATATATATATATATTTAAACAAAATAATAAAAAAAGAAATGTATATATATATATGTAGGTTAAATTATTCAATATAAATGCAATGAATTTATATAATCTATACATACATTAATAGCAAGTCCTTAACAACCAGTATTCCATAAATTAGATGGTCGATGAGATAGATTCTTTGCATAATACAAATCACATGCTATACGGGTTAAAATCTTTTTTATTCATTCAATTAAATATATATATCAATCTTATTATTTATCCATCCTAGCATATCAGTAGTTTTGACAACTCATTCGCATGTCTGCCTGCTACTTTCAATATATATATATATATACAGCTCATAATTATTGTGAGCCTTATATACTTGCAATCACATGTTCCTTACCACCAAATCCAGAAATAAGTGGACTACTAGATGATAATGCATTTATGGTTGTTGTTCTGTACCTGAGTTTTGTGCAATACTATTGTTACTGTTGTTGCTGATGCTGATGTTATAATCAATTTTGACATTAGTAATGATATTGTTGTCCCCAATAATGGCATCGAACTTTTATAGTTTACCTTATTTCTATTTCTTGGTACATGTTTTGCCAACTGAATTGAATTATTTGATGCCTGATTAGCTAGATGGGCTATTTAATTCTTGGAGAAAATATATAAATGTAATAATTAATAATTAATTACAAAGCTGATGCTCTTTTTGTTGAGTAGTCATCGATTCATTTATTCCAGAACTATTAGTAATGGTCGTGGATGTAGGCGTAGGTGTAGATTTTGAAGATATTAATTGCTTTTTTATTTTGTTGAAGTTAAATTTATCCCTCGAAATTTTTTTATTATTAGATTCCAATAAATTTCCAATAAATTGATCTTCTCAAATCGCCATATGTGAATTTGCTATAAACATTATCTCTTTATCATCATCATCATCACCACCACCACCACACTCAATATTATTATTACCGTCACTACTATTATTAATCTTGCCACTATAACCAATATTAATCAATAAGTTGATATCAATTTGTTCTCTTTGCCAAAATACTAAATCAGCCTTTTGTTTCATAATCTGAGGAAACCCGCGTGCCCTTCAACTTCTTTACCAATATCAACAACACCAAGTTCTGTGTTTACAATCATTGATTTAACATCTTCAACTTTTTTATTGTCGCTTTTGACTGTTATTATATTTTCGTTCCCCAGATACCAACTTTGCTTTTTCTTTATCAACTTTAAATGTTGGTCTTGTCTCAAGTCCAAGATCTGATCCCCATATATGTCATATATATAATCTCTTTCATGAGGCGTAAAATGGACCTATTCGCTCATAATATAACATAAGGACCGTAATCCTCAAACTGGGCTGTATACATATAAATATTTTTTTTATAACTATTACTGCTTGAAGCCAAATACTATCAAAATGTATTTCTAATAAAGGAAATATTTAAACTGTTATAAACCTTGTTTCCTTGTATACTAAACTTTCAAGATTATTCGATTGTAATTCTACTGTTTTCTTAATGTCTTTCTCTATTAATATATTATCATATTCGCCTTCTCACAAAAATTCAGCACTTTTATAATAAATAGTATTAGAAGCATTATAAATCTTACAGTTATTAATCACAAGATCAAAATCTGCCTATTTATTATCATAATAATAATAACAATATTAACAATGATAATAAATTAGAAATTTAAATATCAAACAAGCAGATATAACAAAATATCTTAAATCCATCGATTGCTTTATCTTCATTTTTTGCTTCATTGTTCCAAAATCCATAGGTTTTTCAATTATGTCTAGTGTTCCATGTCGTAATCCAAAAAATAAAACAAATTGGTCGCAAAGGCGGTTGCATCCATCATCAAAAGTTGCAGCTGGTAATCTTAAGTAATCAGTCACTACACCACTTGTATCAACAGACTCCAAGAAAAATCCATATGTATCTTTTTTTGATTATTATGGATTCTAACAATTTAGTCAAATAACTTTTATTTTTTTTTCTCTTTTGAATATTTAAAGAATGATTGTAATATTTCTTTTTTTTTTTTTTTGGTGGTCTACCAAGTTTTTGTATACTGGTGGTTGCTTGTTGAGTTTAACTGTTGATTTACCATCATTAACAAATAAAATAATAAAAAATATGTTTATTTTAGCGTATTTGATTTGTCACTATGTTTTTACCAGATGTTGAAATCTTGGCAAGATTGTGTTGCTGCAGGTTCTTCAATATTATTAACTTGTCTTTTCCTTTATTGGATAACCTGATTTCAATTCTTTTTTTATCGGTATGAAAGTTTTTGATGGCTCATTAATATTAACAGCTTTATTTTGACATTACCATTATTGCTGTTATTCTCATCACCCAACATCATTTTTTGTGCATAAATTCATTAGCTTCATTAGTCTTTGGTGGTTGTACATCTAAATTAGTTCCAGTAATTTTTTATTCTTTTTACTTTAATATTTTTTGTCAATGCCATGTTCAACCTTCAGTTATGATAGCTCTTGAAGTGCCTATACCAATATTATTCTTTTCTAGAGATAGCTTATTGGTTCTTTTTTACTCTTGGCAATAATAAATTTGGCTTCTATTCTGTTCAGTGTCACCAGAAGTTGCATTCTTAATTTTAAAATAGCACAAACAGCTGTGGTTGATGTTATAGGGTGAAGATAAAGCTTGCTTTACTAGAAATAATTGTTGTGGAATCAGCAGCAAAATCATTATGTTGCGACACTTTCAACATCAATGTCCATATTATCATTTATTGAAACACATCTCGCAAATCTTATTCTAGTTTTAGGATTATTTGCTATTCTTTAACATTTTACTGATGTTTGAGCCTATATAAATAAATACATGTAGGAAACAAACATATAACTCCTTTTTCAAATTTATCTAGATCAAAAATTTTAAAATTTTTGTTTATCATGTAATAGCGACATTCATATTACCTTCTTTTCTTCCATTCTCATGACCAGTTTTTTTACCCATAGTATTTATTCAGCTACGGAATTAACTAGGGGTAAATTTTTAAATTTATCAATTTCCTTTTAATATCAAGTCTTTAAAAATGGTGAGCTAACAAACATACAAATATAAATTTATTTTAAATAAAATATATATCTTAAATATGAATTATCCCTGTTAAAGAACGATCCTTTAGAATGTGCTCTGGACCTTATGAGACGTCTTCCACCACAAAAAACTGAAGAAAACCTTGTACAACTCGTAGATCTTGTGCCTCACCTTCATGAAGATTTAATAAATGCTGTTGACCAACCTTTAAAAGTTGGTAGATGTAAAAAGGAAGGAAAGGATTATATTTTATGTGCTTTCAACAGAGATGGAGATTCATATCGGTATAATAAATAACTTTTTATATTAAAAAAAAATCTCTTTAAGAATTAAAGAGACTGATATTTTTTTGTTTATTATATATAATCTTTTTAATAGCTCTCCTTGGTCAAATGAATATGATCCGTATATCAATGATGGCATATTACCATCTTCAAAAATACGTAAATTAGAAATAGCTGCCAATGAGGCATTTAATACATATCGAGAAATGTAAAATAAGCTTATATTTATCATCCAATTATTTTATTTCCATCATCATTTGATAATAAAAAATTACTCTATAATATCTAATTTTCGTTAGGTACTATGAAGGTGGTGTTTCCTCAGCTTATTTTTGGGATGATCCTCCAGATGGGTTTTCCGGCGCTGTACTATTTAAGAAAGGCAAAAAGAGAAACTTTTTTTATTATTTTATTTTCACATACATGTATATATATATATATTATAACTTTTTGTCATAAATTTGTTAAATAGTTGGTGATGGTGTTCGTAAAATGAAAGGTGTATGGGACTCTATTCATGTCTTTAAAGCGAACGAACGTAGTCGCAAAGCTCAATATAAATTAACATCCACTGTCATGCTTTATACAATTACAAATAAACCTGACCTTGGAAATATGAATTTATCTGGAAGTATGACAAGACAAGTAAGGCCAAAAAATTCTATGCGCATGTGTATATTTTGTTTAAATATTTTTATTTATAGGCTCTATTTTAAATACAGTTTGAAGCAGAATATCCATTTGATGATCCCTCGGCACACATTGTAAATATTGGTCGTATGGTCGAAGACATTGAACTCAAAATGCGTAATTTGCTTCAAGAAGTTTATTTTAGTAAAACAAAAGATATAGTTAATGGTTTACGTTCGGTAAATTCTCTTGTTGATGCTCAAAAACAAATGAATGTTCAAAAGGAATTGGTTGGAAAGTTATTAGAAAGAAAAGCATGAAAATTTATACATGTTTTTATATGTATTTATTATATTTATTTATAAAAAAGAGAATCATCTAGTTTACTAAAAATCAAGTAAATCAATAAGTAATAATATATTAATTATTTTTAACATTGGTTGTTATAATTATTGAATTGTGTCATAAGATCTGATATATTAGAACTACCAGGAATTTGATTAGAAAACTGTTGTAAATTTGGTGCAACATGTTGGGATTGATGTTGAGGTAAAGGAAGAGTATTAGGCTGAGGAGGAGGCATAACATTTGGATTGTTAACGTTATGCTGGTTAATCATTGAAGTATTAAAAGGGGTAGGTTGATGGCTATGAGGGAACACTTGTGCATATGGTTGTTGATTTGGAGCATTCGCAGGTGCTAAATGTCTAAGTATTTGTTGTACATCAAAATTTTGTGATTGTGCAGACATAAAGCCTGGTTGATGTTGTAAGTTTGCACCAGGTGAAACTACTTGCATAGGTTGTATTCCCTGAGCAGACTGTGTATTTTGGGGAGCTGTTGGTTGCTGCTGTTGTTGTTGTTGCTGCTGTTGCTGCTGCTGTTGTAAACTACCAAGCAAATTAGCAAGTGCAGCAAAATTTACATTACCTAATGAAATTGGATTAATATGTGATGCATTTTGCTGGTCTATAATTGGGGCAGTCTGTTGTGCTTGGGGTAAAATTTGTTGCCCACCCATTAAGATATTATTGGGAACTGGAACTGATGAAACACGAGCTCGAGACAATAATCCAACTGCATCTTCTATTCTAATATTGTTATATTCTAATAATTTTTAACTCTGGTTAATAAATATAATAAAAGATTCGTCTACATATTTATAATTTATAATTTAATCAATGTATTAAAAACTAACCATCATATTTTACATTATCTTGAGAGCGTTGACGTTCAAAAATTTGCATATTAACCTTACCATTAATTACAAGGGCTCTTTCTAAGAAGACAACCGCGTGTACGCCTTCTACAATCATTTGACGAACAACTGCTTGAATTTGAAGTTTTCTAGATAAATGAAGTGTATGAACAGAAATATTTGCTTCTCTGAAAGCATTCTCCACTTGCCACAAGTAACTCCTATAAAAAATTTTATATATAATAATGATTGATTGATTGATTTTGACAAAAATAATAAAAACAAAAAAAAAATGGGTTTAAAAAATTATTTTTTTAAGATACCAACCGGTCAACTTCTTCAAGAGCAATTATCTGGCATTCTGGTACCTGATTACCTTGTCTTCTAGGTAAAGGAAATTCGTCATTAGTCTTGTCTTGTGATTGTGACCTATTATCACAACTTTGTTTTCGCTCTAAATAATCTCTATTAGGAACTCTATATGGTTTAGATCTATGGGAAGCTCTTTGATCATGGTGTTCCTCTCTATACAGATCACGGCTATGTCTTCTTTCATGGTCATCTTTATTATAATGCCAATCATTATGGGTCTGATTATGATGTCCTCTGGTAGGCGAATATTCTCTTTTGTTATTATTATGTGAATTATTTTTATTTCCGCCTCTTTGATTCCAACGTTTTTCATGATGATGGCCAAAATTAGTTTTATCATGATTTTGTGAATGGCGATGTAGCTTACCACGAGAAACCTCCAATCCTATTATAAAATTAAACGATATATATATATATGTATATATTAATTAATTAATTAATTATTAATTTTATATATAAAAATAAGCAAACTTGCCTAATCTCAACCCGTGTAAAATTCTTCCATTTTCTTTCTCGATTGCTTTTTTAATACTCTCTGGATTATCATATTGGATAAAACCAAAACTATTTTTAATAGATATTTCAAAAACTTCTCCATAAGGAGAAAAAATGTCATAAAGCTCCCTTTTGGAAGTTGAATGAGTGGACAAATTTCCCAAAAATAAACGAGATCCTGGAGGCAGAGCTTGGAATTCAGCATCTGTTAATTTATGCAAAGTAAATGGGGCCTTATTATGATTATAATTATAATTATTATTATTATTATTATTATTGTTATTATTATTATAATTATTAACATTATTATTATTGTTATAATTATTAACATTGTTATTATTGTTATAATTATTAACATTGCTATTAATGCTATTATTTTCATTTGATCTTTCATTTCCTATTTGGGAGTTTGGAGAATGGTGATTACGAAACTTATGGTGATGCTCTCTATCAAAATTTTCTAGATTATTAGGTTGGGTATCCCAACTAGAACTAGTAGTATTGAAATTTTGTTGTTGTAAAGTTTGTTGTCTATGTTCAAAATTCACCAACTCTTCTTTGTTATTATTATCATTGCCATTATCATTAGCATCATCATTATTAATGCTATTGATTTGAGATTCATAAAGGTCAGACTCATTTGTAGAAACGTTTGTGTTGTTTTTAACTTCTTGAACATTGGTAGAAACAAGCTCCATATTATTACTTTCAATTTGAATATTGTTATTATCATCGTTTTTAGGCAGTGGTTCACTATTATTAATAAGTTCTTTTGTTTTGTCAATTATTTCTTGACTGGTGTTTTCATTTGGCACATTAATATGAATAGTTTGTTCATTTGATGGTGAGTTAGGCAATAGATTTTTGGATGTATTTTCAAATACGGAAATTTGCAAAGGCATTATTTCTTTTTGATTTTGGGTCGATTCTGAAGCCTCATCAAAATAATTCAAATTTTCTAATTTGTCATCCATTTTTTGATAATTCGTATCAATTTCTTTATCGCTAACAGTTGGATTTTTTTCAGTCATCAGGTCCTGTTGGGAAGAAATATCAGAACTAATAGAGGTTGATTGCATCACTGGAATATATATTTTTTTATTTTTTTTTTTTTTAAATTTTAAAAAAGATAATCATGTATTTTCCGCAAAAATTTTATTGGTGGGTTGGCATATTTAGAAATAAATTGGCGATCTCTGGATTTTTGCGGAAAAACCTCTTTTTTTGGATCCAAGGTACATACCATTCATAATTTAATATTAAGACATATTTACCTGGCGGTGCATCTAATACCAATAGAGTGACATATTCAAGGGTCCTCATATGATGATTTTATTAATATTAGGTATGAAATTTTTTAATTATCTATATACACTGCACCAAAAAATATCAATCAACTATGGGTGGCACACAATAATATATAATAAGAGTCAGAGTTTTACGAAATTTTTTGTGAACAAACATGGGTCATCGGATCCATTGGTGCGACTTTTTAACCATATTTAGTTACTAAGCAATTAAACTTGGTAAAACGAATTGTGATGATTTGGCCAATAAGATTAAATTTCACTCTTATTACTTTTAGTAAAAAATTTAAGGAAAAATGAAACTTTATTCTATCACAATATTTGCAACAGAACCTAATCAACCCGCCATTAATTTGGCTGGAGAATACGATCTTTCGAGTTTTGGTTTTTTTCAACGTTCAAGGTATGAATATACATGTCTATTGTTTTAAATATTATTAATGATTGCTTATAATAATTATATTATTTTTCATTAATAGTGCGCAAGAATTTATGACATTTTTTGCTA